CATTTTTTTTTTTGCCGCATCAATGTTTAATATAATTTTTTATTTAATAAAAACCATTGGTTAAAGAGGATAATTTATACTAATAGCATCGAAATTTTTTTTTTTCTAAAAAAAATTTTTTTTTTTTTTTTTTTTTTTTCAAGTTTTTATTTTTAATTTTAGAAAGGATGTGCTAACTAGACCTTCAACTTTCGTACTCTCTGTCAATCGTCTACAGAGATTTCCTGTTGACAACAAGTATGATGCACAGTGAAAAAAAAAAAAAAAAACCCTTAAAAAATCGAATCACTTTGAGTGACGGAAATAAAACTCGAATATTATCACTAGGACATGTATATATATTTGATCAGACAACATCATCACATCGATCCTATTTCTAGAGTTGTTTGATTCACATCCTGCTAAGGAAAAAAAAAAAAACGATAAAACAAAGAATGATTGTCTATTATTCAGCAACAATTTAATGATTCTTATCAAATTAATCGAGTAGAGTGTGATAAAATAACTTTTTCTTCTTCTTCTTCTTCTTCTTTTTTCTAGTGACAGTTGAGAGAATGAATTCTAATCGTTTCTTAATCTGTCGTAGTAATAGATTGAAAGAATTTATGCAAATATTAAAATAGAAAGATGAGATAATGTGTTTTTCTTTTTTTTTTTAATATTTTTTATATTGTTAAACAAGACAAGTACTTGAAAGGACATATTTTTAATCTATTAAAAGAAGGAGCAAAAAAAAAAATGCGTGCATAGTAAAGTGATATTAGGTTAGCACTCGAAAAATATCTAAATCAAAAGTAAGCAACAGCTTTGTTGCTCTCAGATGGGATTATATCTCTTTTGTCATATATGTGTCTACTAAAATAAAAATATTTCCTCTAGCAAAAAAAATTTTTTTTTTTTTTTTCTTCTTCTTCATCTTCTCGTCTTTAAAAATAAAATATTCGAAATTATTGTCTGTTATTCTTAACAAATAGTTTTTCTCGCTGAAATAATAAATAATTGAGCAATTGGATAATATTTCGTTTGATAGATTGTAAAGTAAAGAATAAAAACTGATTGTCATTTTGTGTTGTGAGTGCCGAAACATAGACATCATTCGTATTCATTAAAAGAAGAAAAATTTTTATTGAGATAATTTCCTGGTTTTTATATTAGAATAATTGTTTTTATCGAGAAGATGATGAGTTTAATAATAATTTTTTCAACTTTTTTTTTTTTTCTCTCTCTCTCTCTCTGTTGAAGAAAAAAAAATCAACTAAAAAAAAGAAAAATTATTTAACTGTTCAACTCTTTTTCTACTCTATCTCATCTATAATTTTCTAATTATGATTGATTTATTAATGAATGTTACATTTGAGATTATTAATTCAAAATATGATTGATAATATTGTTTCTTAGAACAAGAATAAAATGTTCGATAGATAGATAGATAGATAGATAGATAGATAGATAGATATATATATAAGTGAATTGAACAACTACCAATTGACGTCAACACTTATAAAGATGATTTTTTTTGACATATACATACTCAATTTGATTGTCAATATGGTAACTTGAAAAATATTTCATGTAAACTATAGTAGAATCTATTATTTTTATTGTTGAATACAATTTTTTGTATTCAACAATGATTTATAGATGTTCTTGTTTTATGATATTAATTGAGTAATAAAATTATTCACAGTAGAGTCCTATTATTTCTCTGTCAAAATTTTTGTACGTGATATTGTCTGGATGTGTTCATAGAAAAACAAAACAAAAAAAAAAACCTCATTGATAAACTTTCCTTCTTTTTACAATAGAAAACATTTATAGATAATTATTCCACAGAGAAATGATGACTTCTTTTCGCGATTAAATATGTTTAATTATTCTAATAGTATTTTTTTTTCTTTCTTTTTTTTTTCTTCGTTATTTATATAGGTCCTGATGTTTTATCCCTGGCTTTATGGGCTGTACGAGCAGCAAACACCATCTTTCAGAAGATGATCTTGAATTTTTAAAAACACATACGAATTATTCTGAAAAAAAAATAAAAACTTGGTATAAAGGATTTATGGTAAGATTAATGAATTTTTTTTCTTTTTAATAAAAAGAGAATGATAAAATTGAATACTTTTTTTATTTTTTATGTTTTGTTTTTAGAGAGATTGTCCATCGGGTGAATTAACACGTGACTCATTTATACAAATTTATAAACAATTTTTTCCCAAAGGTCGAGCAGAAAATTTTTGTGAACATGTCTTTCGCGCATTTGATACTGGTAAGTAAAATAATTGTGTATTATTAGTAATTAATTATACATCTATAAATTGAATTATTTCTCTTTAGACAATAGTGGCAAAATTGATTTTAAAGAATTTTTACAAGCAATCAATATTACATCACAAGGTTTGCTAGAAAATTTTTTTATTCTTCAAATATTTATTTTTTAACATCTGTCTTATCGATTTATAGGGACACCAGATAAAAAATTAGAAATGGCATTTCGAATGTACGATTGTAATGGTGATGGAAGTATTGATGAAACGGAAATGAGAAGAATTATCGGAGTAAGAACAACATTTTTATTGTTTTTTTTTAAATTTTTTTTTTAAAGTAACACTTTTATACTATTGTATTGCGGCATATGTTCGATATTTTTCAATTTCTTCTCTAAAATAGAAGTAGACTAAAAATCACAGCATTGTACAATAACGATTTGTAACGTATTTTATTTATTTAGGCTATTTATGAATTAATTGGTGATGAAATCGATAAACGTGAGCGTCAAATTGAAGCCGAAGAACGTGCTTTGAATATTTTTACAATGATGGATAAGAATTCTGATGGAATTCTTTCACAAGAAGAATTTATTGACGGATGTCTACATGATGAACAATTGTATCAACTATTAACTCAATCAAGTAGAATGGGTGAAGGACAAGGAAGCATGGATTCACTTACAAATGAAGATTAAATTTTACAAATATATATTTTTTTTTCATTTGCACATGACAGTCACATAATTTACAGTGTAAACAGTGAAAAATATTATTTCTATAATGTTTAAAAATTATACAGTGGTATTTGTCTGTTTGTTATTTGAAATTTTTGTTGCAATTTGTTTATCTATGTCACTGCTTTTTTGGCGTACATTCCCATCGCAAATTTTTGTGTTTTATTCTTGTTAATGTTTCTTTTTGTCTCTGAAAAAATGAAGTATTATCAACATCTAGACTTTGTTAAATAGTGTAGTTTAGCTCATGTTGTTGTAGGACAAAGACTAGAAATCTTACTCAAAATTTTGTAAAAAATTTGGTCGAGTTGTATTAAATAAGCACGATTCTATGTATAACAATTGACGATTGTACCTAAAATTTGTGAGTTCGTAGAAGGGTCTCCGAATGATTTGAGAGAGATTATGAGAGAATTTATGAAGCTGAATCATGGTTTAATAGTTTTCTTATTATCAATATTGACGTTCAATAGGATCTCATTTGTGAACATCTGCAATTTACATAATATCTAGATGTTCAGATATTCTGATATTCAAATGTTAGATATTTAGATATTTAGGGAGGCGGAGGGAGAAGGGAGCGGGGAGATGAGAGTGAGTGAGAAAAACTGAAGATCTTAACATCTGAATATCTAAATATCCAAATATCTAACATTTGAATATCAGAATATCTGAACATGTAGATATTATGTAAATTGTAGATGTTCACAAATCAGACCGGTCTCTTGAAGTTAGTTATGAATTATAATACTCAAAAGAATAGTGAACAACTTCTGTTACTCATATTGACAGTTGTACAAAATGTGGAAATCGAAATGCTAAGATCGATCATTACATGTAGTTTAAAAAAAACATTCCCTACACGAGCTTGTGCAAAAGATCGGGATCAGTTCATTTACTGATAAGAACTGAATATGCGTCTTTCTATTCCTGATATAAATGCATAAATGCTATATTTGAATTCTAGGTTTTCCATAATTCTCTTTAGCTTTTACCACTCAGTTAAAAGGGAACTAGGCTCAGAAAACTTTTCCTTTTTGTTTTAGAATCACTAACTAACACAAAGAATCATGTCTGACAACAAAAATCAAACTGACCATCAGTCTGGCTCCGAAGATGAAAAAGATCAAGAAGAAGAAGTTAAAGATAAGCAACAACTACAAAAGGAAGATGCTAAAGTGGAAAAAGAGTTAGATCGTGTGGTAAATAATCGATATTCTGTTCATTTCTAACTTAACTACTTTAGTTACTTTACTTGTAGACGGACAGTGTTGAAGATGAAGAAATGAGTGGAGAAAATATTGGAAATGTAAGTGTGTTATCGAGACTACTCTACAAATTAGAATATATCATAACTTGTATTTAATTCTACATTTAGGCTTTGACAGCAATTAATGACAAACGTCATCATGATGAATCTAAAAGAAAAGCTGAACAACAAGCATTAGCCAATGTCAAAATTAAGAAAGAAGATGTTGATTTAATTGTTCAAGAACTAGAATTACCCCGATCAAGAGCAGAAAAAACTCTAAGAGAAAATAGAGGTGATTTGATAGCTACAATGCGTGCTTTAGTGAATTCATAAACATACTAAGTTTATGATGCTTCACTCTGTCCGAAAGAACAAAGAAATAAGGATATTGTTTTGATTTTGACTTTTTTGATTCCATTTTTAATGATTATGTTCAACAAATGTGAATTTGTTTATTTAAGAAAAAGCATTGTTTGACATTAGTTCTTGAAAAAACGGGTCGCCAAAGTGTCTATACATTTTTAGGTTAATAAAAAGATGACTTCTTATAAAGGGAGCATAATTACACTCATCGATCCGCGTTTACTTTTATCGCGTTTAAACGCACGCCTATTGCAAGCACGGAAACACGTTAAAAAATAAAGTTGAATAGGTAAATCATTCAGTTCTTGCTAGGATAAACAAGATTGTGATTTCAATCACAATCTTGTTTATGCTATCAAGACTTAAGTGATTTACCCTAGAGGTAAATTCTTATAAAGGATACTGACAAGTGTTTTGTCAGATTCCCTTAAAGTTCTTATTGTAAACACATAAGACTCTTATCAGAATCTTATAAAAGTCTTATATAAGAAAGACAATAAGACGGCTAATTTTTTTCGTAAGACTCTTATAAGCATTGTATAAGCTTCAGATAAATAACTGATAAAAGTCCAATAAGATTATTTCAAAATGTCGTGTGTCACTCTTATCATAATCATGTCAGTTTCTTGTCATGTGCGTACAAGGTTCATATCGTCTTGGAACAGTACTGAAACAAAGCCAGTACGCATGATACCCTAGTCGAGACTCCCGGCAAAACTCTCACGGGACTCCTGTCACGGGGTCTTGCAGGAGTCAGGTGGGACTTTCAAGGGGTTTCTCAGGACTTCTGAGGATTCCTGTGGAACTTTCGAGTTCTGCGAGAGTCCAATGAAAGTCCTCAGAATCCTCAAAGTGCCCCGGGAGTCCTGAGAAATCCCTTGAAAGTCCCACCTGACTCACGCAGGACCACGTGACAGGAGTCACGTAGGAGTTTTGCCGAGAGTCGACTAGAATAGGTTGCACTAACACTGGCTGGCACCGGTACGCACTAGTACCACATTATTTCCAGTCACCGTTTTCCTATCTAAGATTGATTCCATTATGTTTTACTCGGACTTCTCTTCGAGGACATGGTGCAATCAAATTTTAATGCGTTCGTCGAGCAGACAATGCTTTTATCTTCTCATAATCTCTATCTGAAAAGGAAAAATCAGTATGAATAGAGAGTCAGGTAGCAATTCAGAAGGAGTACACAGCAAAATCAGCTTTCTGTTCTCTTATCCAAATAAATATATGATAAATATATATTTATCACAAGATTGCACTGTTTCTATTGTCAAAAAAAAAACAGTCAATGCTTCAAATAATAGGCTTTTTTAACTGTTATTGAATGTGTTTTTTCTGTTGGAACATGTATTGTCATAGCAGAAAAAGCCTGTTATCTTCACGTTGTTAAGATATTCTGGAAAAAATGTTTCTTCCGATTTTCAATACCATATTTTTCCGATTTTAACGGAATTTTTTCCGAACTGCGGATTTTGCACTTGGCAACCCTGGTCATCACGTCGATATTTTCATTAAAAACGAAATATAGTACTGATGAAAAACGGCTAACGGTCGACCGGTATGATTTAAGTAGAAGTTATAGTAAGCAAATTAAAAATCATCAAGCTGTAAAACACACTTTTCTGCATAGGACACTGTCTTTTGTTCTGTTTGTTCATGCTTATTAAATGAAAAAACATGGATCAAACAAAACCGTGGATCACTACGAATATTGCATGATTGATCAAGCTACAAGAAAAACGTATACAACGAAAGAACGAAAGTGATGATCATGAAGTATGTTATATAATTTTAAAGCTCAGAGTCTGGGCTTTCTTTTCATCTATTTAAAAGTTTCCAGATTTGCTATGAGAAAAATCTTTTGAAAAACTAGAATAAACCGATGTCTGTGCGTTACCGAAAATCGAGTTTAGTTTATTTTTTGACTAAACTAAAGCGATTTATTTTTAAACTCTCATTGATCTTCTGCTTACTTTTGATAGGTTATAGAATGTACATATTAGTTTGTCGTTCAAGTGCTTTAGCGCCGAGAAATTTGATAACGCACAGACACGACCTTTTGGGCGCCTCATATTAACACATACATAGACCTACTGAAAGTTGTTTGTTTCAACTATAACTTGAAGTTGGAGATACACCTGCATAGTTTTTGTTGCTGACTACTTAATTTGCAATAAATGAAAACCGCAGAAGATAAAAGCACAAAGTTTTTGAGGAAATTTCAGGACAAATCGTCAGGAATTATGTGTTTATTAATTCTAGATTGTT